CGATAATAATGATGCCATAGCTAGAGCGATAGAGCAACAGACCGAGCTGCTGTCGCGGATCGCAGGCACAGATGGCGTCGCGAATCGAACTTCGGGAGTCAAGCTGCCACCCGTACAACTACCTACGTTTGACGGGCGTCCCGAAGAATGGAAGCGATTTGCGGATACATTTCGTTCGCTCATTAACGACAAGAGAGATATATTACCAGTACAAAAATTCCAATATCTTGCTACATCGCTAACAAGTGATGCAGCAAGGGTGATCGATTCTATAGAGTTAACCGCGGACAACTACACTATAGCGTGGGAACTACTACAGAAGCGATACGACGATCCACGTGCAATAAAGAAGAAGCATATCGAATGTCTTTTTAGAATGCCAATCGTTAAAAGGGAATCAGCAACTGCCATACGAGAGTTGATCGATTACACGATGAAACATTTACGAGTTCTAAAGGCAATGGAGTTACCGACTGACTCGTGGGACGAACTTATTGTACATATGATGGAAACTAAATTAGATGCCGTATCCCTACGTGCCTGGGAGCAGGAAGGTAACACTAATGCCCTAGTATTAGAAAATGTAATCAATTTCTTGCAGAAACGATATCAAACATTGGAACGTCTTGAAGCGAGAGAAAGCCATAGAGACGTTGCGCAATCGAATGATGAGGTCTACAAGTCTGGCTCTAGGCAGCGAAACCAGAAGCCAGTTTGAGACCACAAGGCAGCGTCGCTTACGATGCTGACAAATACCAACAAGTGTTTTCTGTGTAAGGGGGAACATTTCTTATACCATTGTAAGAAATTCATCGCAATGCCAGTCGACGAACGTATCAAGGAAGTTCGCCGCCTTAAACTTTGCCTAAATTGTTTACGTAATGACCATTACGTCAAGTCATGTAAAATGGGATCTTGCCGTGAATGCTCGGGTAGACACAACACTCTATGTCACCTGCCATTGAACATGAAAGAGAAGCCTACCAAGGAGAGTGTTGAGACCCCATCGATGTCCAATGCCAACAATGAGAATAACGATCAGGTAGCAATACATTTGTCGGCGAATGCGCTAGCGAAACATCACGTGATTATAGCAACAGCGAGAGTTTACGCGATACTGCCTAACGGTTCGAATGTACCATGTCGTATACTTTTGGACAGCGTAAGTGAAGCGCATCTTGTCACTAGCTCAGCGTGTAATAAGATCGGAGTTAGACGAAATCAATCTTCGGAAATCATTACGGGTGTAAATGAACTCACGAATCAAATACATCAAGTATGCGATATTGTTTTGCAATCGTGTCAATCGAATTTTCGCTTTAGCGTACATTGTCTCATCGTACCAAAAATAACAAAGAATTTACTATCGATCGAAATCTCGCGTGAGACACTTCAAGTTCCATCTAAT